TGCAGTTCATCCAGAAGTAGAGTTCAAAGGTACACAGAAGTCTTTCAATATTAAATAATTTCAACCATACCATGTATCCATCATGACTTTCATTATCTATCTTACTATAGTAATTAGCTTCCATGTAACTACTAGGAATCAGGGTCAGTTTAAATACATCCTAGAGTGATACAGTTTTAGAGCTGGGAGGAAAGTAAAAATAATTTGATCTGTCTCAGTCAGCTTATAAACAAAGGCAACAAATATTTCCCAAACCTATGTGGTGAGTTAGTAGTAGATCTGGGATAAGATACTTTAATTCTAGTTGAATATTCTTTTCATGTAGCCTCATCTTCCTCTCTACCATGTATCTTGATTAGTAGGTATAAGTAATGTGTGTATGTATGTATAGCTTATTTTTGACATATATGTATATGCATATAAAACATATCTACATGTTCATATGAATTTTTACATTTTTACATCAACTGAAGAAAATATGGCTATGCAAAAATAAAGCCTACAAGTAAGAGAATGATAGGCATAGACACAAAATCAAGTTTACCTCATTAAAAGAAACACATTTAACTAAATCTATGTCTTCTGAGGAAATAAAGTAAACTGCTTTGTTACTTTAAGGCAAGGGTTAAAACAGCAGCAATGGGAGATGGGAGTATTATGGGTCATTTGGGGACACTGAATTTGAAGTACCATTCCAACAGAATGTTGTGTAACATTCCAACAGAGATGTTTACCAGGCAGTTGGATATATATATATATCTCCCCAGCTCTGGCCTAACCCCAAATCTGCTACACCCTCATATCCAGCTCTACCCAAAATCCTACATTACCTCCCTCTGCTTTTGGTATATTCTTCAGGAGAAACTGACTTTCATCAGTTTGGATGGCTAATTTTGAATGTTTTGAAGTAAACTTTACTCAGAAATCTTGGCTGATTTTCACTAGTATGCACCTAGATGTTAGCATACCTCTCCTCAAATACTTACGAGAATTAGTCATCAAAGTGGGTAATCAGTCATGAATCTAGAATGCTTCTCTATTCCCAGCCCAAGAAGAGGTGGCCATTGCTTGTCCCCTGCCCTTCACCTGGAGAGCAATAAAAACACGACTTCTCATGCCTGCTCACAAGAGCCTTCCAGAAAGAAAAGGTGTCAGAAACTCAGAATGCTGGTACTGGCACAAAAGCAGACATGAAGACCAGTGGAAGAGAACAGAGGACCCAGATATGAAGCCACACAACTATAACCAACTTGTCTTTGACAAAGGCGCTAAAAATACATGATGGAGAAAAGACAGCCTCTTCAACAAAAACTGCTGGGAAAACTGGTTAGCAGTCTGCAAAGAAGTGAAACTAGATCCATGTTTATCACCCTATACCAATATTAACTCAAAATGGATCAAGGATCTTAATATCAGACCACAAACTCTAAAGTTGATACAGGAAAGAATAGGAAATACTCTGGAACTATAGGTATAGGCAAGAACTTTCTCAATGGAATCCCAGCAGCACAGCAACTAAGAGATAGCATAGATAAATGGGACTTCATAAAACTAAAAAGCTTCTGCTCAACAAAAGAAATGGTCTCTAAACTGAAGAGAACACCCACAGAGTGGGAACTCTGTCAGCTACACATCAGACAAAGGACTGATAACCAGAATATATAGGGAACTCAAAAAACTAAACTCTCCCAAAATTAATGAACCAATAAAGAAATGGGCAAGTGAACTAAACAGAACTTTCTCAAAAGAAGAAATTCAAATGGACAAAAAACACATGAAAAAATGCTCACCATCTCTAGCAATAAAGGAAATGCAAATTAAAACCACACTAAGATTCCACCTCACCCCTGTTAGAATAGCCATCATTAGCAACACCACGAACAACAGGTGTTGGCGAGGATGCGGGGAAAAAGGAACCCTCTTACACTGTTGGTGGGAATGTAAACTAGTACAATCACTCTGGAAAAAAATTTGGAGGTTACTTAAAAAGCTAAACATTGATCTACCATATGATCCAGCAATACCACTCTTGGGGATATACCCAAAAGAATGTGACACAGGTTACTCCAGAGGCACCTGCACACCCATGTTTATTGCGGCACTATTCACAATAGCCACGTTATGGAAACAGCCAAGATGCCCCACTACTGACAAATGGATTAAGAAAATGTGGTATCTATACACAATGGAATTTTATGCAGCCATGAAGAAGAACGAAATATTATCATTCGCTGGTAAATGGATGGAATTGGAGAACATCATTCTGAGTGAGGTTAGCCTGGCCCAAAAGGCCAAAAATCGTATGTTCTCTCTCATATGTGGACATTAGATCAAGGGCAAACACAACAAGGGGATTGGACTATGAGCACATGATAAAAGCGAGAGCACACAAGGAAGGGGTGAGGATAGGTAAGACACCTAAAAAACTAGATAGCATTTGTTGCCCTCAACGCAGAGAAAATAAAGCAGATACCTTAAAGCAACTGAAGCCAATAGGAAAAGGGGAACAGGTACTAGAGAAAAGGTTAGATCAAAAAGAATTAACCTAGAAGGTAACACACACGCACAGGAAATCAATGTGAGTCAATGCCCTGTATAGCTATCCTTATCTCAACCAGCAAAAACCCTTGTTCCTTCCTGTTATTGCTTATACTCTCTCTACAACAAAATTAGAAATAAGGGCAAAATAGTTTCTGCCGGGTATTGAGGGGGTGGGGGGGAGAGGGAGGGGGCTGGAGGTAAGGGAAGGGGTGGGGGAAGGGGGAGGAGAAATGACCCAAACATTGTATGCACATATGAATAAAATAAAAATTAAAAAAAGAAACTCAGAATGCTTTTTGCCAAAGCTTGCTAATTCCTACTAGGATGTATCCCTCATGGATGACCAAAAGGTGGCCAGGATATATTATGTTGATACAAAGACCATTGTTACACTTTACTTTTTCTAAACACCACTTACTGCTTATATTTCAACATAAAATAATATTCAATCTTTTTTAAAGTTGAGATACTTAAGGACTAATAATGATGGTTTATCAAAAACTGAAGGGAGAAATTCAGGGCTTTAGAGAACCTAGGGAAGATCTAGTCCTTTGATTTATAATTTGAACAAGGAAAGAAAAATAATGCTAGAAGTATGGCATCCTCTTCATTTGGGTTATGACAGGGACTTAGAATGGTTAAGGTGATAATAGTGACAAAACTCTATGTGAATTCTAAGAAACCAAAAAAAAAAATACTGAGGTTATTTACTAATCAAATAGTGCACCTATTTTTACTGAAACAGCTCAAAGGTAAAGTTATCATTTTTTCTAGAAACAGGGGTCACAGTAATTGTCCTGTAATATCTAACTAGTTACCACAGCCTTGCTTTATAAAGACCTTTTCCTTTTACTACTAAGGTTTCTACCTTTGGCTAGATGTTATAGAACACTGGTGACAGTCTAAAAGAGAATACAAGGAATGCCAAGTCATGAATTCGGAAAAAAGAAGAATTTTAAAAGGATGAATTTTTACTATATGTGAAAGTGTTGTGCCTCAGTGGGATGCCAGTGGTTCACACCTATAATCCTAGCTACTTGGGAGGCAAATAGTTCCCTAGACCCAATCTCCAAAAAATAACCAGAGCAAAATAGTCTGGAGGTGTGGCTCAAGCAGTGGAGTGCCTACTTTGCAAGTGTGAAGCCCTGAGTTCAAAGCCCAGTCCCACACACACACAAAAAAAAGTGGTATCTCATGGGCAGAAACATTGCATTTCTTTAATATACATGCTAAACTATATCCTTGCTTCAGGCTGCACTTGTACACTAACTTTATTTATTAAAGTGTTAAGTGTATCACTGGACTACCAAGCAGTTGGAGATGGAAGTAAGTCTAAAATTGTGTAAAGTACAAAAACCATACCAATTAATTGAGGAGAAGCCATCTAAATTCAGAACTGAGCAGGGGGCCTGAAGAGTCATTAGTAGTAAAAACTGGTAAGACTATATAAATGACATTATCTTGAAGGAAGATGCTAGGAGAAATAGAAAGATGGTTTGTTACGTGTCAAAGAGAAATTCATGTGTCAGTACATGAGTTTTACATATCCATGTACACACATGTACAAAATATGAGGGAAAGTGACATTCAAGACCCTACACCATGAGGTCCTAACAATCTTCTCCAATCTTTTCCAAACACTACTTGCCATGGGTTCTTTTGCTCTACTCACATGGAAATGCTTTCTCTCCTCTGTACTCCCATCTCTTCCATTCCTCCCCTCTTTTTTTCTATGGCTCACAAATGCTAGGCAAGAATTCTACCACTGAGCTACACCCCCCAAACTCTTCTCACTTGTGTTCACATTGTAATACTGACTGAATGTCATCACCCATAACTTTTTCTAAATTTTAGTATCCTTCAAAGGCCAGCTCAAGTTCTATGTTCCCTTGTAAGCCCTTCCTGATCAGTCCATCCCAGAGTGTTTTCTATTTCCTGTCCTTTTACCATCACTGCCACTCACTTGTATACAGAGTAACACAAAAGTTTCCTCACAAACATTTCAATGGACCATCTACTGTCTCTCATTACTGAGTAACTTCCTGAATATTCATTAGTGTCTGATCCCCTTGGCTAGATGATAAGTTATTTGGGACAGGGTGTGTCTTCACCTGTCTTTAAGTACATCACACCACAAGACTAAGCCCAACCTGCTATCCAGTAAACACCTACTAATATGAATAAGCTGTATCACACAATGGTCAGAGGAAAATACTACCCTAAGTATGAGAACATTCTTACATACAAGATTAGATAAGGAGAATTAACCATAGATGTCTTTTCACTAAATATCTCTTAAGAAGACAATAAACCTACTGACTTGAGGCAAGTAAAGAGCCAAAGTAAATGAAAGAGGGAGCAAAGCCAGATGTGGATATTGGAGAGTAACATTCTCCTGAGGCAGATGTAAGAAAGACAAACAAACAACTGTTCAGTGGAAGTCAGGTATGAAAACATACCCATATTTCCTTGAGCATCTTCATCCTTACTTGGTGAAGGCAACAGAAAAGATGCCCTGCTGAAGTGGGAGCCTTGAAGAGATGGTTGCTGCTGCTGCAAAGGCATGGTGCTGAGGATGACCCGCCAGTCTGTTTGGGTAACATCTGACCTAGATCGAGCATGCCCTGGCTTGAAAGTTGAGGTCTCATCCAATAAGTCATTCACAGAACGAGGTCTGTCCCTTCGACGCTGACAGATATTGAAAAAATTAAATGTTGACGCTTCCTTTTGTTCCATCCATGAAAGATTATCTGGGGCTGTCCCTCTCTGGACCATAAACTGTTCTTTGGCAGAGAAGACATTTTGAGCTTTGGTTTCTAAGATCATGCTCTTACAGTGGTCCCAAATCATGCCCCCCTTGTCCAAGGAGGCAGCTTTTCTCATAGCACCATTGTCCGTTATGTTACTGAGTACCTCGTGTCCTACCAGTTCAGGGACTTCCTGAATCCCATAAACCTCTGCCTGCTGCACAGTTTTTTCTAGCTTACTATCAAAAGTACTAAAGAAATCCTCAGTAACTTCTAAGGCTGGGCTGATATCATCTACTTCCAAAGCTTCCATGTCACACGTTCCAATAGGCGGCAGCCTCCTAAGCTGGTTCAGAAAATGGCTTCATGAACATTCATCCAACGAAGAGTGGTGCTTCAGTAATAGAATTAAGGAAAGAGCTGAAAGGAACCTTCATTCATCTGCCTATAGTAGGCTCAGCACAACGGTGACTGATGTTTTCCTGGTCACTGAAAACATTTGCTAGCTAACAGAGGTATGGTGAGATAAATGTTCCTTTGAGCTTATTCTTTGTGAGATCTTATTCTGAGTGAGATCTTTGTGAAGACAACAGGTAGTGCTTATCCCAGCAATGCCATATCAATCCTTGATTTCCTGAAAGAAAAAATAAACAGGACAACATTGGCACATGGTTCATTATATTCTATAGACACAAATCTGTCTAAGCACTTTCCCACCTTTACACCTTGTCCACGGCAGCCATAGGGGGATGACACCTACACAGAAGTTCCATTGTCAGAACACATATCACTCCTGCTTTGTGTTAGAACTTCCACAGAGCAGGGTAGAGCACTTGATAAGAGAAAATGAGGCCAACATCATTTATGTACACAGAGACACCTTTGAAAGCAGTTGTGAAAAGACTACTCTGGCAAAATATCTGATCTATTGACCTAAAACAGAAAAGAAACTAGGAATTCTGTGATTAGGCCTACATCATAATCAGTCTGAAAGTCACAAATGCTTGAGTCCTTTAAAAAACCTTGAAAGCACTGATGATCTGTTGAGCTTAAAGGTGCAAGGGGCAAGCAGAGAAGGAAGCTCTATCCTTGTATTAAACCTGAATGTTACAGTGCTTGAGCGAGCTCCCTAGGGTTAGATTCTACAGAGCCTAACAACGACCTTGGACTTCAGAATTCTCCAGTCTTCCTGGAATAAAGTTTCAGGTGCTAAACTCCCTGGCTTCTAAGGCTGATCTCAGATTACAGGTCTAGCTTGGGGTGTGCCCAAGCGCCTTTGGTAGAAATATGGCCTGCATGGCGACTTTAGTTCGTCCTTTTCTCTCTTCAGACCTCAAGTCTCAAATTTTATAGCTCCTCCCCGGCAACTCCTACATGAGCACTAGCCCATTCTCCCTGGAAAATGCTAGATCTCTAAGGTTAGGCCAAATTAGAGCAGACCTCAATGGTGACAGAGCCCAATACAGTAGACACTGGCCACAGATGGCTATTTAAATTTAGTAAAGTCTAGTAAACTAGTTCCTTAGTTATAGTAGCCACATTTCAAGATACCTGTGTGTCTTTAGCAAAAAGTAAACAAAACAACAAGGCAAAAGCCTTTTTTCCCCTTTACTGCTTATAAATAGATAAAACCAGTCCATTAGTAACACCATTATACATTGCTGTGATGGTAGACAGACATGCTTTCTTTTCAAAAACTTGAAAATTTTTATGGCTAATAAGTTAATTTTTAGTTCTTAGGTCATTAAACAATTACATTTAAACCAAAAGCACTAATTTACATTGTTTAATGTATGTAAATTAACCAGTGTGTACAGACCTTTGTTTTAGATATATCAAGGATGTATACAGACCACAGAAACCCTAATTGCCTTCTTCTCTTGTAAAGTGATAATGACTATAAATTTGGCTACTTTCATGTTTTTTGATATTATCAAAATAAATACTTCATAAAATGTTTCTAAATACAAATGGGATTTGGTTGTTTTTCTTTTCTTAACAGAGCCTAAAGTTAAGCCCTCCATCTCTCGAATTGTGTAAGAGGATTTTAGTTCCTGTGTAATTTTGAAATGAGATGTTCCTTTTCATTCAGTATTTTATTTAATTTTTGTGGTGGTAGGGATCAAACCTAGGTCTTCATGTACACCACAAATTTAGTCTTTAATTCATTCTAGAGAAAGAGTAAATAGCTTCAAAGTGGTTACTTTTTGTTCGGTTTTTGTTTTTTTAAACAGGGTCTCACTCCCAAGGACTGGGCTCCAGTACTCTTTGATTATTCAAGTTGCCTTCTCAGTGAGGCTTACACTTACCACATAATTTAAAATTGTAACACATATTAAACTTTTAATTTTAAGACAGTTTAGATCTAAAGAATTATTACAAATATAGTACAGACATTTTTTTGTATATCCCATACCAATTTTCTTTATATATCATCCTACATTAGTATGGCACATTTGTAATAATAATAGTAATTGAACCAATAGTGATATGTTATTATAAACTAACACCCATACTTTATCCCAATTTCCTCCATTTGCTCTAATGTCCTTTTCCTGCCTTGGATCCTATACAGGATACAAGTATGACATTTAGTTGTCAAGTCTGTTTAGCTTCTCTTGGCTACAACAGTTTCTCAGACCTTCAATCCAGGTTTTGATGACCTTCATAGTTTTGAGGAACACTGGTCAGATATTTTATCGAAGTGGTCCTTGTGTGGAATACATTTTGGAGAGGAAGACCACTGGGTTGAAGCACCATTTTCATCACATCATGACATGGGTTTACATACTGTCAACATAACTTATTACTGCTCATGTTAACCTTGGCCACCTTACCTGAGATACCTTTCTTCCTTAAGCATTTTCCATCCTCTAACATACCACTTAATTTCAGTGTTTTTCTCTCTCCTCACTAAAATGTAAGCTCTATGAGTTCAGAAATTAATGCTCATTGTGCTCGCTAAGGTATCCCAAGTGCATAAAATAGTCACACACACTCACAACACACACACATACTTAGGCACTACACAAACACATACTGAGTGAATGTGTTGTTATTCCTTTGCATGAGCTACGTGACTGGCACAGTGCCTTACTTAACCTCCCACACAATCTATGTTTTCATCCTTTTAGGCTCCGTTTTCCAACCTTACTCTTCTTGGAATTTCTTTTCCCTGGGCTCTATAACCCTTGAAGAGAGTTTGGTCTCTTACTAGCTTGCCATCATTGGGTTTCAATTAACTAATTAAAAAAATAGTAATAACATATGTACACAGGTCAAAATGTGAAGCTTTTCTTCCTCTGACAATGTGTGTGGGTACAGTGCAGTATGCCTTAGCACAAAGCTGGAAATCAGGAGCTAATTAGAACAGTGTTCTAAATCTGGCTCTACCACACACTTGTTGGGTGGCCTCTGGGAAACCATTTAAACTCTGGGTGTCTTACTCAGCTACCTGTATCCAATAAAGTTGCTAATATCAAATTTCTTTGCATGAAGATCATTCTAGGTAGCTGTTACAACATGCCTGTAAAATGTGAATTGCTATGTAATTATGAAGAGTACTCCATTGCACCTCACTTATTTAACAACCATGTGTTCTGATCGCTCCCTGGAAAGATTAGTCCACACAACAAAGGCAAAGTCAGCAACCAACTACTTATAACACACTATTTTTCAATCAAACTCCGTGGTCTAGAAGGTATTCCTCCTATTTAACAGGTAGAGAAGTTGAGGTCCATTTGTCAATGTGGTAATAAAAGAGCTCAACTCAAAGAATCCCATGCATGCATCAAGATGTAACAGGATGGAAAATCAGTGTATTGCTATTTTCTAACAAGGAAATCTGCTGTCTGTATGCCCATTAGGCAAGGCTAATTAACAGGCTAAATATAGCAGCCCTCTTACACAGAGGTGGAAACAGATATAAGTAATAACACTAGGCTTGCCTGCACAGAGCTAGATGCCTGTTCTGAGCTGGATGGCAAAAGAGCTGACTTCCTTCCACCTATAATCAGAATTCAATCAGTGCTGAAGGAATCTGGGGCCATATAGGGATTTTTTTTTCTTTCTTTCTTTCTTTCATTTTATTGTTTTTACATTTACTTACATGTATATACATTGTTTGGTGTCACCTCCTCGTGCTCCCCGCCCCACAGTCCTCTATAGTGAGCACATTAACCACATTCAAGTTTTAGGTTTCCTTCCCTTTCCCTATTCCTCCCGTGCTCATTCTCCCCTTAGTGTGTGATCCATGTCCAATAATATTACTGCATTTGTTTTAGTTCTATAATCTGCATATGAGGGAGAACATGTGATTTTTGGCCTTCCCAGCCTGGCTAATATCCCTTAAGATGATGTTCTTCCCTTCCAACCATTTACTTGTGAATGACAAAATTTCATTTTTCTTTGTGGCTGAGTAAAATCCCATTGTGTATAAATACCACATTTTCTTAATCCATTCATCGGTAGTGGGGCATCTTGGCTGTTTCCATAGCTTGGCTATTGTAAGTAGTGCTGCAATAAAGATAGATGTGTAGGTGCCTTTGTAATAACTTGAGTCACATTACAAACAGACTGAGAAGAAAACTGCAATACCAAAGACACACAGGGTTAACTTGTTCCATTAATCTATTTTCAAAAATGGGAACCAAGGGTGATCACAAGGATGGTACTCATGGTTCTCACATGTGCACTTTGGTTGAGGTTATGGCTGACAAAATTTTCTGAGTTACATCATGGACCTACAGAAGAACATATGACTCCAGAGAAATGACTTCCTAGACCATGAGGTTATGATTTTTTTTATGGTGCTTCATGTAGACAACATAAATATGTTACCACAAGCAGCAGATCAGGAAATGAAAGCCAGAGAGAACCTCATGAAAAGAGCTCAGCAGGCTGAGATGAGATGCACAGCTAGAAACAACAATGGAATCCTACTTTCATAGGCTTGGAGCAAACATTAAATGGCTACATTGTATCCAAACTCCAATAAAAGAGATTATTGCCATGCTTGAGGATGAGTATCCTATTCATACAAATAATTTGTAAAGTGTTCTTTTCTAATTGTAAAAGTAATAAATACTCATGGAAATTCTGAAGGACTGGAGTGTAGCTCAAGTGGTACAATGCTTGCTTAAGAAGCATGAGGCCCTGGGTTTAATCCCAGGAAGGAAGGGAGGGAGGGAGGGAGGGATGGAGGGAGGGAGAGAGGGAGGAAAGAAGGAAGGGAAAGAGGGAGGGAGGGAGGGAGGGAGAGAGGAAAGATCATGGTCTCATAACTCAGAGAAAGCAAATTTAGACTTAGATGTGTTTTTGTCCAGTATTTAATTGGAATCAAGACTATATACACAGTTTGGGCACACTGTCTTTTTGAATAGATGCTCCAAAAGCAAGCAGTATTAAAGGAGGAGAGGTAGGAAGGTGATAAAGGAAAAGGAGAAGAAAGTAATTATCACAGGGAGAGCTATACCCACTTACACCTTACAGCCTGGCATAAGGCCCCACTCCACTCAACTTCTCTTCTACAGCTACCTAGTGGCAACCTCATTACACAGATGCTAGTGTTTTTCAAAGTCCTTTGCCTTCTTGGTGCTGTTACCTAGCCCCTCCTTGAAAGTTTTCTCCAGGGTC